TTTTAAAAAAAAAAGTAACTTGCATTACTTATTTGAAAAAGTAACTCCGATATTCTCTCGTAAATTAAAAAGTAATGCGTTACTTTACTAGTTACTTGAAAAAAGTAATCTGATTTGTAATGCGTTACCCCCAACACTGGCGGCCCGTGAGCTGCTTTATAGGCCTGTGATCTCTGATGATCTCAAAGCCTTCGCCTGAGTGATGTCTGAACTCTGAGAAGTGGGTGAGTAGTAGCCAGCTGATGCGTGTTTGTTGCAGGTGATGCGTATCGTGGATAACGTGCGGCCCGACCGTCAGACCGTCATGTTCTCGGCTACGTTCCCGCGCACGATGGAGGCTCTGGCGCGCAGGATCCTGTCCAAACCCATCGAGGTGCAGGTGGGAGGCAGGAGCGTGGGGTGCTCAGACGTGGAGCAGCACGTGGTGAGTGCAGACGTGTGCGATTATACGGCAGGAGCGTGGTGTGCTCAGACGTGGAGCAGCACGTGGTGAGTCTGAGTTCAGTTGCTCGTTTGCACTGTTCGAGTCCGTAAGAGGCTGCTGGAACGCTTCGTGCAAATATAACCTCTGTTTAGCTAGCCATCAATGAGCTTGAGTTTTTACAATAAAAATCATTTCTGATGCGAGGTTCATTTCTCATTTCCATGAGAGCAAACAGAAAGAAACACTTTTGAAAAGCTGCCGTCAATGATGACTAAAGATATCAATTATTTTTTCTTAGAAATTGAAAAAACATTGTTAAAGTTAATAATTCAGCACTCTGAAAAATTGGGAAAGAGTAAATGAAGACAGAGTTCAACAAGGTAATGATCTGCCTTTTACAATTAGAATGATTGCCTTTTTAAAAAAATATGTATCCACTGCCGGTGTGGAGTAATTAAGATTTGCATTGTTTCTGAAAGAAGTCTCTTCTGCTCTGCAAGGCTGCATTTATTTGCTCAAAACTACAGTAAATACAATGAAATATTATTACGGTTTAAAACAGCTGTTCTCTATGTGAGTATCTGTTAAACTGTAATGTATTTCTGTGATGCGCAGCTGTATTTTCAGCATCATTACTCCAGTCTTCAGTGTCACATGATCTTCAGAAATCAGTATAATATGCTGATATAAAATCTTCATTATACTTTTGAGTGGTAGTGTATATGTGACCCTGGAGCACAAAACTTTTATGAGATTTATGCACCACCTGAAAGCTGAATAAATAAGCTTTCCATTGATGTATGGTTTGTTAGGATAGGACAATATTTGGCCGAGATGCAACTATTTGAAAATCTGGAATCTGAGGGTGCAAAAACATCTAAATATTGAGAAAATCATCTTTAAAGTTGTCCAAATTAAGTTCTTAGCAATGCATATTACTAATCAAAAATTAAGTTTTAATATATTTATGGTAGGAAATGTACAAAATATCTTCATGGAACATGATCTTTACTTAATATCCTAATGATTTTTGGCATAAAAGAAAAATCTATCATTTTGACCCATACAATGTATTGTTGGCTATTGCTACAAATATACCCCAGCGACTTAAGACTGCTTTTGTGCTGCAGGGACACATATTTTATTTATAATCACTAGTGAGTTTGCGAATCCTCGTCTGAAGCTCAGGCTGTGTTTTCCGCTGCTTGCACAGATTGTGATCGCGGAGGAGAAGAAGTTCCTGAAGCTGCTGGAGATTCTGGGTCACTATCAGGAGAAGGGCTCCGTCATCATCTTCATGGACAAACAGGAGCACGCCGACGGCCTCCTCAAAGACCTGATGAAGGCCTCGTACCCCTGCATGTCTCTTCACGGAGGTCAGGACCTTGGATTTCTCAAATCATTTCTATTGGTCAATAATGGAGTTTAAATGCTAAGAATCAAATGAAACATTTTCTTTTCTTTATTTGCATGTGAGACCTTGAGGTCCTTAGTTTCCTGGAAATAATAGGGGTTTTAAAAACTGAGCAAGAAAAGTCATGGAAATAAATAAAATCTTTAAAAAGAGTGAAATAAGGAATGCTCATCTCTAAAACATGTTTTCAGTACATTGCCCTCTCTTGTAGGATCATGTATTTAATGTGTTTCAAGTTGCTTGTTGCAGTAAAGTGTCTTGAGTAATTTGACTTGAGAAGCATTAGGAGACGCTTTTGCATAACCCTGGGAATGCAGTTAAAAATACAGAGCCGAATCATTCATTGAAACCAAATAGAATCGAATCAAATCTCGTTCTGAATCAGATCAAAATGAATTGTTCGGAGTTGGTAAAAATCTCTCCTGAATGGAATTGATAATCTGTGGATCAAATCGATTTACTGTCTATCCAAATATGACAAGATACATCTTGTTCAAGATATGAACAACGCACTAATGAAGGAGAAAATAGAGCAGCACAGAGAAATGAAGCAAGTGAACTCGACACGTTTATATTAAATGCTGGAAAAATCAATTCAAGATGCACTTTTTTCCCCCAACATTTTATGAAGTAAATTTAGTCAACAACCATCGGATGCCACTTTTAGACTAAGACTAACGTATGTGACATGCATGATCTGACACGCACCACTGCCGGATGATGATGAGCTTCAGTCTGATTCACACTCACTCTGAGTTCAGTTAAATCTTTAACCCATCACTCGAGTGAGGAATACACTAAATGCTTTACATCAGGGCAACGGTGTGATATGATGAGATGTGCGATGTCTTATCTGTGTGCTCTGTGTAACAGGCATCGATCAGTACGACAGGGACAGCATCATCAATGACTTCAAGAACGGCGCGTGTCGTCTGCTGGTGGCCACCTCGGTGGCGGCTCGAGGCCTGGATGTCAAGCAGCTCATCCTGGTGATTAACTACAGCTGTCCCAACCACTATGAGGACTACGTGCACCGCGCCGGACGCACAGGACGGGCCGGGAACAAGGTGAGTGAGCCGATCCGGGTCACGCTGATGCTGTGCTGCAGAGAGAGGCTCACGTGTGACTCTGGTGTGTGTTGTAGGGTTACGCGTACACCTTCATCACTGAGGAACAGGCCCGGTACTCCGGAGACATCATCAAAGCGCTGGAGCTGTCCGGATCGGCCGTGCCGCCGGAGCTCGAGCTGCTCTGGACCAACTTCAAAGAGCAGCAGAAAGCCGTAAGAACGCCTGACACGTTCAAGACGAGACCACAGAAAGACGTTTCCGCCACACACACACAGTCAGAGTTTCTTCCTCGTGATTCCTCAGGAACAAAAAACTAACTGTGAGATTTAAACTCAGAATTCAGAGAAAAAAAATAAGAATTATGAGAAATAAACTTCTGAATTCAGAATTCTGACTTTTTTTCTCACAGACTTTTCTCAGAATTTAACATTGATATCTCAGTTTCTTTTTCAAAACTGTGAGGAAAAAAACTCAATAACAAGGGGGAAAAAAGTCTGAATTGTGAGATAAAAAGTCACTAAAAGTTAGATAAAAGTAACTTTTTTTAATCCCGTGGTGCAAACAAGATTCTATATGTGTTCCTGGAGCACAAAAGCAGTCTTAAGTCGCTGGGGTATATTTGTAGCAATAGCCAACAATACATTGTGTGGGTCAAAATTATAGATTTTTCTTTTATGCCAAAAATCATTAGGATATTAAGTAAAGATCATGTTCCATGAAGATATTTTGTAAATTTCCTACTGTAAATATATTAAAACGTAATTTTTGATTAGTAATATGCATTGCTAAGAACTTCATTCGGACAACTTTAAAGATGATTTTCTCAATATTTAGATTTTTTTGCACCCTCAGATTCCAGATTTTCAAATAGTTGTATCTCAGCCAAATATTGTCCTATCCTAACAAAGCTTATTTATTCAGCTTTCAGATGATGTATACATCTCAATATCGAAAAATTGACCCTTATGACTGGTTTTGTGGTCCAGGGTCACATATAAGAATATGGTGAAGATGTTAAATAATAGATCTCACCATACTTCCCCAGCTAATTAATCACAGTACATTTAGACATAAGAATTTGAATGACAAATTTGTATCGTATTCTGAAATGTTATAAGTATGCTAATGTGACATTATCTAATTAAATATGCACTAATTTGCATACATTTCCAGCACAGAAATCTGAACATCGGATAAAGTCAGGTTCATAATTCCTGTTTGATTTTGTCCTCGTATTAGAGTTAAAGGTTTTTTAGAGGGGATTTTGGATTTCTCTTTTTATCACTCCATAAATCTGAACACATTTTCACCGTGTTTTTAGGAGTAAAATGTTGTATAAATCAGTGTGAATTAAATATGAACAAACCTTCAGAATGTAGAGAGGAATAAAACAGTAATGTTTGCAGTTTGTAAGAGAAAAAACTCTAAATATATGGATTGAGATTGAAATGTATAGACGCAAATAGATTAAGCATAAAATGTGTTTTTGGATGTTTTTCTCGAGTAGTCTGAAAGAAGCGAAATAGACTGAAATCTCCGAGCTGAGCAGTATGTGTTACAGGTGTTCAGTGATCGTGTGTGTGTGTGTGTGTGTGTGTGTGTGTGTGTGTGTGTGAGTGGTGGTGTGTTGTGTGTGTGTGTGTTAAGGGTGTTCAGTGATTGTGTGTGTGTGTGTGTTAAGGGTGTTCAGTGATTGTGTGTGTGTGTGTGTTAAGGGTGTTCAGTGATTGTGTGTGTGTGTGTGTTAAGGGTGTTCAGTGATTGTGTGTGTGTGTGTGTTAAGGGTGTTCAGTGATTGTGTGTGTGTGTGTGTTAAGGGTGTTCAGTGATTGTGTGTGTGTGTGTTAAGGGTGTTCAGTGATTGTGTGTGTGTGTGTGTGTGTTACGGGTGTTCAGTGATCATGTGTGCCGTTGCTCCGCAGGAGGGGAAGAGCATCAAGAGCAGCAGCGGATTCTCCGGGAAGGGCTTTAAGTTCGATGAGACTGAGCATGCGCTGGCTAACGAGAGGAAGAAGCTGCAGAAGGCTGCGTTAGGCCTGCATGACTCTGATGATGAGGATGCGGCTCTGGACGTGAGTCCACACTGATCACAGCTGAGACTAGAGACTAAATAAGAGAACAATCTGACAAACTGCTGTATTTACTAATGTTATGAGACTGACTGAAGAACATGATCCGATTCAAGATACTTCTAGATCAAATACTGAGGAGTTATGATTGCACAACATAAATATTACAACTGTAGTCCAGGGTTATTAAAGTAAACTAAAACCATAGAAAACATTTAGTTGGATTAAAAAAAACAATCTAATGTCTGATTATGTGAAAGTGAAGTATCAAACAAAGTCAGTTTACAGATTTATTCAGACTTTCCATCTGTTGGACGTATAACATGTTGAATGTGTTAACATACTCTAATGATTTACTGCATTAATACACATTTCAGCACACTCGTAATAATATTTGAAGTTGACCAGAATCACTACTGATTGTGAAAGTGACCACATGTGTGCATTTATCCGAAGCGACTTACACCGCATTCATATCACATTTGATCAGTTCTGGCTTTCCCTGGGAATCATGGGAATGATGCTGCTGTTGCCAGAGCCCATGAGCTACAGGAGCGCTGTACTGTTATGATTTATGTAGTTACAGTGTAATAACACCTGATCCCTGTCGTGTGGCTGCAGATCGACGAGCAGATCGAGAGCATGTTTAACTCTAAGAAGCGTGTGAAGGATCTCTCTGCTCCGGGTGGCTCTGCGGGAGCCGCTGCTGTCGGTGTGAGCGGATCTGTGACCGCTGTGTCCGGTCTGAGCGCTCCGTCCGCCGGAAACATCCAGAAACTGGAGATCGCCAAGAAACTGGCCCTCAAGATCCAGGTGCAGAAGAACCTCGGCGCAGAGGCTCAGGTCAGAGAGCGCATCACAGAGCTTTGTGTTTACATGAAGCTTTTAATAAAAAAAGAGTTGATGAGTTTATGCTTTGCCAAAGGTATATTTGATACATGGAAGCTGTGAATTAAATCTAAAAATGAGATTGTCTTTCGTTGATCTCAGGATGTGATGCAGCAGGCCACAAACGCCATCCTGCGCGGCGGGACGATGATCGCACCCTCCGTCTCGGCCAAGACCATCGCGGAGCAGCAGGCGGAGAAGATCAACGCCAAACTGAACTACACTCCGGTGGAGAAGCTGGAGGAGGAGCGGCAGGCCACCGAGGCCACGGACACCGTCAAGAGATACGAGGAGGAGCTGGAGATCAACGACTTCCCTCAGGTCAGACGCTACACAGAGTTACACTTCTGACAGACCTCTTAGAATTCAGCTGAAGAAATTACAGTAACACGTTACAGTAATGGTGTGTTCACACCAGACACGAATGTAATCATTCACGCGAGTAGATTACATACAAAGTCGACGCGAATAGAGGCGAACCACGTGAATGACGTGAAATGTGCGACGCGTTTGCCGTGAACGCACGATATTCACCTCAATCGCGTCTTCCAAGCAAGTTAAAAAATTTCAACTCGAGCGGAAAATGCAAGCCAATCAGCGAAGAGCTTCTTGACACGTCCAGTTGAATCGGACAATAGAAGAGAGCTGCTGTTATTATATAGGTCTGGAGAATAGCAAACAATTAAAATCAGTTGTAGTGGAAGTTGTATTTTTATTAGCATGTCTACAGAGATGCTGCTATCAATAATAAAAAATAATAGTAATATCAGTGTATATATACAGTAGTAAAATGTAACACACACATTAATACAGGATCCTAACGTTATTCATCCTCCTCTGGATGGTGCTGTGGACCCAGACACGTCTGCGTTTGGCTTTCCATTGTGTTTGGGACTTTTTGACAACAGGTACAAAACAGCGATTGTGCCCCTTAATCTGTAAGTTTCCACCCACGGCGCCGTTATTGTGTTTTCACAAGCGACAGCAGTGTAGCAGCTCTAATGCCTTGGTGAAAGTTTGAGCAAAACATGCTAACTGTTCTGTGTTTGTCTGCACAGATGAGCACAGAACACTGTTTAGAGTCCCAGCCTCAGAGGAGACAACTGAGCAGAGGATTTATTGATTTATTTACTGTATATTGCTGCTGCCACACAGATCTAAAATAAACATGCGATTTATTTCCCAGCTGTTTACCTTCACAGACATAACCCCCTGTTTTTGTAACTCGTGTGTTTTTAACGTAAACTTGATTAGTCAACATGAACTAACAATGAACAAGCATTCATCTTAGTTCATGTTCATTTCAGCATTTACTAATGCATTATTAAAATATAAATTTAACCCTCATAAGCATTCAGAATATGTGTAGTGTTTTGGCATTGCGGTTCTGTTTGGACTCAGTGAATCGTTATTTTATAAAATCGTCATACCTTGATATTTTTCAGCTGAGGGGGCGCTTACACCACACCATTTATTATGCAGATTCTTATATAACACTATATACATGTGAAAAACAACACAACCTGCTATTTTTTTAAACATCCGCAGTAATGAATAAAGTTATGCAAATACGACACCATTTTCAACTTAAATCTTTTATGCGTTTTGTTTAATTATTTACACAACAGTGGATACGTGTGAGTGGGTTTTTTTCTGAAAACTTTTTAGTACATCGTTGTTGTGCAAACATATCCTAAAACCCTAGTGCATCTGATCAGCAGCTTCTCATTAATGAGTCGATGTCAAAGAATGTCACCATGTTATCATGTCATTACTGCATTTACTCCCTTTTTATCTATTAAAAAATGAGAAAGTATTTGAAATTTCAAATTACACATGAACCACACCAAAAATACTGTGATGCAGAGATTTTATATATATATATATATATATGTGTGTGTGCATGTATATTTTATTTTATTACATTTATAAGAACATAATCTGAGAATTATCCTATGAATTGAATTTATAACTCGGGATTGCTCAGAAACCGTGCAAATTTATGAAATGTACATATTTCTAACTAAACAACAAAAATATTACTCTGAAAAGTTTACAATCGAAATAAATTAATTTTACTTTCATAAACTTTCACGCTCACATTCATATTTTTTCATGCGTCAACAGGAAACATATTCATGTTTATCGACAAAACTCAGTCCTGAAAGTATGAGATATGGGGAAAATATATTTTATAAACATTATTTTGACACTAATATAACTTTATAGACAATTCTACGAAAAGTATTTTTGACACCTAATGGCTCAAAATGACCCGAACATGAAACACATTTATTAAAAAAGGTTCTATCTCTTAAAACACAATTGTAAAAAATCTGAAAAATAAATGCGTATTTTGAGGATCTTAAAGCATTTGCAAAGTTGAATTGCCTTACTAAAAACTATGCATTTTTAAGAATTCTTTTTAAATGCATCTCTTCTGGAAACATGAACTAATAATGCTCACAAATGCATTGCTCATTATTAATGCACCAACTAATGTTTAACTAATAGGATCTTACTGTAAAGTGATGGACTTCTTTCTGAAGAAGGTTGTTGTGAATCCTGCTGTGTGTGACTGGACATAATCACATTTATCACACGGCCAAATACATAAACACATGGACATAAACAAGAGATTGGCGTTTATACGACTTCATTGCAGCATGTTTAGAGCTGAACTCTGACTGCTGAAGAGCGTAAATACTTCCGGCTAACAGCTTATAGTCTTTGGTTGTAGATGTAGCTTTTCCAAGATAGTTTGCACCTTTAACTTCATGAAAGCTTGTCATTGATGTCGATGTGTTCAGCAGACACTTTTCAGCGTGCGTGTGTTTATCAGTCTTTGGTTTTGCAGACGGCGAGGTGGAAGGTGACGTCGAAGGAGGCTCTTCAGCGCATCGGCGAGTATTCCGAGGCAGCCATCACTATCCGAGGAACATATTTCCCGCCGGGCAAAGAGCCCAAAGAGGGAGAGCGCAAGATCTACCTGGCCATCGAGAGTAAGTGTGCTCGCCAGATCCTCACTGAGTCACTGAGTGAACCGTGTCTGAATGAATGATCCTGAATCAGTCTGTTGTTATCAGGTGCCAATGAGCTGGCTGTGCAGAAGGCCAAAGCAGAAATCACACGGCTGATCAAAGAGGAGCTGATCCGTCTGGTGAGTTCTTCTGTCTGCCTGATTCTGCTCCGCTTGACCGCTGACTAACTACTGAAGTTCAGTCTCACACTGCACATTCACCGACTGAACCGTCTTTTTCTCTGCTTTCAGCAAAACTCGTACCAGCCCACCAGCAAAAGCAGATACAAGGTTTTGTAGCCGAAGACCGAGGACAGACGATCGCTGGCGTTTCTTTCTTAATCCCACAATGCTTTCTGTTATGTGAGCTGATCAAACACCAGATTCACTGATCTGGACGCTTTTACCTTATTCTGATTTCTTGTAGTTTGCATCAGTCACCTTTAATATTTTAGAAAGTTCCATGTAATTGGATAGTGAACTTCATTTGGAAATAAAGTGTTTTTTCCTCCATCCGTATGTATCTGTAATATCACTCGCGCCATCTCAAGCTTTTACTTTCCCCATTGTGATTTGCAGCAAGAAACAACTATAGAGCTTTCAGATATTTTTGAAGGAATCGTTCAGCCACAAAATAAAAATTCCCGTTTCAAATCTTTACTGGAGATATTTGCATATCAGCCTTATTTTGAATGTAATGTGCGAGACTTCCGGTGATATTACTGATTAACTGCTATTATATTTATTTTCATAGTCATAAACACTGATTTGCAGCGCAGTCTTACCTTTAACTGCACTTTGTTATTCTTGTTATTTACCTGTTAAACAGAAGAAAATAAGGTGTCTCTATAAACATGAGGCGTTGTGATTGGCTGAGCTTGATGATGTCACCTGTCATTCAAAACGGCAGCCCGCCCGCAGGAGTCTCAGCGCGCGTCAGAATGCTGAACGGCTGTGATTGGTCCATCCTGAGCAGCGCTGAGTAAAGTAACAGCTGTCAGCAGCGTCTCCGCATCAGTCTGAACCATGATGTGCGTCTCAATAACGACGCAGTCGGACAGACAGACGCGTTTAAACCGATTTGGGAGGGAAGAGTGAAGAGTTGAAGTAAGAATGAGGTGTTATTTAGATCCATCGTGTCAGAAGAACAGCTCTCCAACGCTGTTAATATCAGCTGCGCGCAGCACTCAGTGCGCATGCGCGTTATCCTTTGCGTTCTTAATATTTAATATCAATGGCTGACGCTGATTTCTAAAGCATCTCCTAAAATTGTGAAAAGATTTGACACGTTTTCTGAACATCGAGGTGAACGTCAATCTCTTGTGTTTTATTCGACGAGCTTCGGTCAGAATTCATCTGTAGCACCAAAATGGGACAAACATGTCACGTTTAACCCTTTCCGCTCCAGTGTCGACATTCAAGCGAGGTACAGTCACTGATGATATCTGAAAACAGATGATGTTTCTGTCTGTGTGCATGGACCGTAATGTGTTTTCAAGCGTATTGTTTCCTTTGTCAGCCTGTGATTAGTTGGAGACAGAACTGAAGGGGTTTTGTCGTGCACTAGTGACAGCTGTGTGCCTTTATAATGTTAATGTCACAGTTAATGCTATGCATGCTAATGAAGCCCTGACTGATGCACGATCAGACTTTATCAAATATCATAAGAGCTTCTGAAATGGGATCTGCATACATTCTCTCTCACACACATACACACACTCTCTCACACACACACACTCTCTCTCTCACACACACA